GGATTCGCGAAGCTCTAAAGTCGCTCAAGGATCCGCGAAGTTCTAAAGTCGCTCAAGGATTCGCGAAAATGAAGTCGCTCAAGGATTCGCGAAGTTTCTAAAGTCGCTCAAGGATTCGCGAAGTGCCTTGAAGTCGCCTGCTGATTCGCAAGTTCTAAAGTCGCTCAATTATTCGCGAAGTTCTAAAAAGTCGCTCAAGGATTCGCGAAGTTCTAAAGTCGCTCAAGGATTGGCGAAGTTCCTAAAGTCGCTCAAGGATCGCGAAGTTCTAAAGTCGCTCAAGGATTCGCGAAGTTCTAAAGTCGCTCAAGGATTCGTGAAGTTTCCTAAAGTCGCTCAAGGATTCGCGAAGCTTCTAAAGTGGCTCATGATCTGCGAAGTTTCAAAGTCGCTCAAGGATTCGCGAAATTCTGAAGTCGCTCAAGGATTCGCGACGTCGAAGTCGCTCAAGGATTCGCGAAGTTCTAAAGTCGCTCAAGGATTCGCGGTTCTAAAGTCGCTCAAGGATTCACGAAGTTCTGGTGTCGCTCAAGGATTCGTGAAGTTCTAAAGCTCAAGGATTCGCGGTTCTAAAGTCGCTCAAGGATTCGCGAAGCCCTAAAGTCGCTCAAGGATTCGCGAAGTTTTGAAGTCGCTCAAGGATTCGCAAAGTTCTAAAGTCGCTCAAGGATTCGCGAAGGTTCTGAAGTCGCTCAAGGATTCGCGAAGTTCTAAAGTCGCACAAGGATTCGTGAAGTTCTAAAGTCGCTCAAGGATCTGGCAAGCTCTAAAGTCGCTCAAGGATTCGTGAAGTTCTAAAGTCGCTCAAGGATTCGTGAAGTTCTAAAGTCGCTCAAGGAGTCGTGAAGTTCTAAATCGTGAAGTTCTGAAGTCGCTCAAGGATTCGCGAAGTTCTACAGTCGCTCAAGGATTCGCAAAGTTCTAAAGTCGCCCGAGGATTCGCGAAGTTCTAAAGTCGCTCTGGGATTCGTGAAGTTCTAAAGTCGCTCAAGGATTCGCGAAGTTCTAAAGTCGCTCAAGGATTCGAGAAGTTCTAAAGTCGCTCAAGGATTCGCGAAGTTCTAAAGTCGCTCAAGGATTCGTGAAGTTCTAAAGTCGCTCAAGGATTCGTGAAGTTCTAAAGTCGCCCAAGGATTCGTGAAGTTCTAAAGTTGCTCAAGGATTCGTGAAGTTCCAACATCGCTCAAGGATTCGTGAAGTTCTAAAGTCGCTCAAGGATTCGCGAAGTTCTAAAGTCTTTTTCACGGAGTTTCTTAAAGTCTCTAAGTCGCTCAAGGATTCGCGAAGTTCTAAAGTCGCTCAAGGATTCGCGAAGTTCTAAAGTCGCTCAAGGATTCGCGAAGTTCTAAAGTCGCTCAAAGATTCGTGAAGTTCTAAAGTCGCTCAAGGATTCGTGAAGTTCTAAAGTCGCTCAAAGATTTGCGAAGTTCTAAAGTCGCTCAAGGATTCGCGAAGTTCTAAAGTCGCTCAAGGGTTCGCGAAGTTCCAAAGTCGCTCAAGGGTTCGCGAAGTTCTAAAGTCGCTCAAGGATTCGCGAAGTTCTAAAGTCGCTCAAAGATTCGTAAGTTCTAAAGTCGCTCAAGGATTCGCGAGCCCTAAAGTCGCTCAAGGATTCGGGAACGTTCTAAAGTCGCTCAAGGATTCGCGAAGTTCTAAAGTCGCTCAAGGATTCGCGAAGTTCTAAAGTCGCTCAAGGATTCGCGAAGTTCTAAAGTCGCTCAAGGATTCGCGAAGTTCTAAAGTCGCTCAAGGATTCGTGAAGTTCCAACATCGATCAAGGATTCGTGAAGTTCTAAAGTCGCTCAAGGATTCGCGAAGTTCTAAAGTCGCTCAAGGATTCGCGAAGTTCTAAAGTTCAAGGATTCGCGAAGTTCTAAAGTCGTGTCAAGGATTCGCGTTCTAAAGTCGCTCAAGGATTCGTGAAGTTCTAAAGTTGCTCAAGGATTCGTGAAGTTCCAACATCGCTCAAGGATTCGTGAAGTTCTAAAGTCGCTCAAGGATTCGCGAAGTTCTAAAGTCGCTCAAGGATTCGCGAAGTTCTAAAGTCGCTCAAGGATTCGCGAAGTTCTAAAGTCGCTCAAGGATTCGCGAAGTTCTAAAGTCGCTCAAAGATTCGTGAAGTTCTAAAGTCGCTCAAGGATTCGTGAAGTTCTAAAGTCGCTCAAAGATTCGCGAAGTTCTAAAGTCGCTCAAGGATTCGCGAAGTTCTAAAGTCGCTCAAGGGTTCGCGAAGTTCTAAAGTCGCTCAAGGATTCGCGAAGTTCTAAAGTCGCTCAAAGATTCGTAAGTTCTAAAGTCGCTCAAGGATTCGCGAAGTTTCTAGTCGTTCAAGGGTTGGGTTCGCGTAGTTCTAAAGTCGCTCAAGGATTCGCGAAGTTCTAAAGTCGCTCAAAGTTCGTGGTGCCTCTAAAGTCGCTCAAGGATTCGCGAAGTTCTAAAGTCGCCTGGTCGATTCGCAAGTTCTAAAGTCGCTGAAGGATTCGCGAAGTCTTCAAAGTCGCTCAAAGATCTTGGCGAAGTTTCGTGCTTCGCTCAAGGATTCGCGAAGTTTCCAAAGTCGCTCAAGGATTCGCGAAAAGTCTTCTGGTTGGGTGAGTATTCGCGAAGTTCTAAAGTCGCTCAAGGATTCGCGAAGTTCTAAAGTCGCTCAAGGATTCGCGAAGTTCGTGCCGCTCGCTGATTCGCGAAGTTCTATAAGTCGCTGAATGATTCGCGAAGTTCTAGTCGCTCAAGATTCGCGAAGTTCTAAGTCGCTCAAGGATTCGTGAAGTGCTCTATAGTCGCCCGGGCGATCTGGCGAAGTAAAGTCGCTCAAGGATTCGCGAAGTTCTAAAGTCGCTCAAGGATTCACGAAGCCCTGAAGTCGCCTGGCGATCGCGACGCCCTTCTAAAGTCGCTCAAGGATTCGCGAAGTTTAAAGCTGCCAAGGATTCGCGAAGTTCTAAAGTCGCTCAAGGATTCACGATGTTCTAAAGTCGCTCAAGGATTCGCGAAGTTCTAAAGTCGCTCAAGGATTCGCGAAGCTCTAAAGTCGCTCAAGGATTCGCGAAGTTCTAAAAGTCGTTCAAGGATTCGCGAAGTTCTAAAGTCGCTCAAGGATTCGCGAAGTTCTAAAGTCGTCAAGGATTCGCGTTCTAGTGCCGTCGCTCAAGGATTCGCGAAAACGAACAGCCAAGGATTCGCGAAGTTCTAAAGTCGCTCAGGAATTCGCGAAGTTCTAAAGTCGCTCAAGGATTCGCGAAGTTCTAAAGTCGCTCAAGGATTCGCGAAGTTCTAAAGTCGCTCAAGGATTCGCGAAGTTCTAAAGTCGCTCAAAGATTCGCGAAGTTCTAAAGTCGCTCAAGGATTCGTGAAGTTCTAAAGTCGCTCAAGGATTCGCGAAGTTCTAAAGTCGCTCAAGGATTCGCTAAGTTCTAAAGTCGCTCAAGGATCCGCAAGGTTCTAAAGTCGCTCAAGGATTCGTGAAGTTCACGGATTCGCGAAGTTCTAAAGTCGCTCAAGGATTCGCGAAGTTCTAAAGTCGCTCAAGGATTCGTGAAGTTCAAGGATTCCCGAAGTTCTAAAGTCGCTCAAGGATTCGCGAAGTTCTAAAGTTGCTCAAGGATTCGCGAAGTTCTAAAGTCGCTCAAGGATTCGCGAAGTTCTAAAGTCGCTCAAGGATTCGCGAAGTTCTAAAGTCGCTCAAGGATTCGCGAAGTTCTAAAGTCGCTCGGCGATCGGCGAAGTTCTAAAGTCGCTCAAGGATTCGTGAAGTTCTTCTAAAGTCGCTCAAGGATCGCGAACAGTCGCCTGGTGATTCCGCGAAGTTCCCAAGTCGCCTGGCGATCTTAGTTTGAAGTCGCTCAAGGATTCGCGAAGTTCTGTGCGTCGCCTGGCGATTCGCGAGTTCTAAAGTCGCTCAAGGATTCTAGAAGTTCTAAAGGGGAACTGAAGAGTCGCTCAAGCATTCGCGAAGTTCTAAAGTCGCTCAAGGATTCGCGAAGTTCTAAAGTCGCTCAAGGATTCACGAAGTTCTAAAGTCGCTCAAGAATTCGCGAAGTTCTAAAGTCGCTCAAGGATTCACAAAGTTCTAAAGTCGCTCAAGGATTCGCGAAGTTCTAAAGTCGCTCAAGGATTCACGAAGTTCTAAAGTCGCTCAAGGATTCACAAAGTTCTAAAGTCGCTCAAGGATTCGCGAAGTTCAAGGATTCGCGAAGTTCTAAAGTCGCTCAAGGATTCACGAAGTTCTAAAGTCGCTGAAGGATTCGCGAAGTTCTAAAGTCGCTCAAGGATTCACGAAGTTCTAAAGTCGCTGAAGGATTCGCGAAGTTCTAAAGTCGCTCAAGGATTCGTGAAGTTCAAGGATTCGCGAAGTTCTAAAGTCGCTCAAGGATTCACGAAGTTCTAAAGTCGCTCAAGAATTCGCGAAGTTCTAAAGTCGCTCAAGGATTCACAAAGTTCTAAAGTCGCTCAAGGATTCGCGAAGTTCTAAAGTCGCTCAAGGATTCACGAAGTTCTAAAGTCGCTCAAGGATTCACAAAGTTCTAAAGTCGCTCAAGGATTCGCGAAGTTCAAGGATTCGCGAAGTTCTAAAGTCGCTCAAGGATTCACGAAGTTCTAAAGTCGCTGAAGGATTCGCGAAGTTCTAAAGTCGCTCAAGGATTCACAAAGTTCTAAAGTCTCTCAAGGATTCACGAAGTTCTAAAGTCGCTCAAGAATTCGCGAAGTTCTAAAGTCGCTCAAGGATTCACAAAGTTCTAAAGTCGCTCAAGAATTCGCGAAGTTCTAAAGTCGCTCAAGGATTCACGAAGTTCTAAGGGAGTTTGTTTCTTGTGAAAGAGGTGCTTTCATGAAGGCCATGGCTGTGGTTGGGAAGGAAGCTGTCCGGACCCTGTCCCCGAGACCTTGGCTTTCCGATTCAATTTGGTGTGTCAAATTGCCAATTTGTCTTGGGGCAAGGGAGGCCTTTCAAGGGACTCCCCGACCCCACTCTTCGCCAAAGAAACTCCCGAAATTGCGAGGACTCCTTCAAGTGGATCCAGCATCACGCATGTCCTTGCAGGATGCTTTGGGCCACGAATGGTTTCACATATGAGGCTTCTATGCCCGTCTGCCACAAGGTAGAGTGGCGCACGTTTGTTCACTCAAGTATGCTGTATTTAGGGTTATTTCCATGTTGTCTTCATCATTATGATGCTGCCAATGTGCCGAACATGTTGCCTTTAGAATGATACGGCGGGTGTTGTTTTTTGCTGCTTTCATCATCAGTGGTTTGGGGTCTGCGTTGAAGTTGGCTTAGGCAACGCTCACATGTCCTGTTATTCATCATTGATTGCAACAGCAAAATGGGTGCACAGCTGCTTGAGATCTATGCTGGTCAAGTTTCATGTAGGTCGACGTGTTGCAGACCCGAAGTTCAATGAGTTGGGATCCTGTCACAGAGTTGAAATCCTGTCGCATCAGTCCACTTGTTAAAGCTGACTGCAGCATCGAGGGTACGATTCAAACGCAGACAAATTATACGACCGGAGCGCCGATTGTATGCCTGTCCCAAACACCTGGTGCTGGGGCGTGCGTGCCATGCAGAAGAACCTTCGGGACGTGTGGCCCTTGAGCCCACAGACGCGCCTCTTGTTCCACTCCTTCCGACTCCTTGCTACAAGGATGGAGCAAGGTTGATTCCATCAAGACATATTTTCTTGAGAGGGAAACCCGCGTGGTTTTTGAAAGGATGGTAGCCGGTCGTGGGTGGACACGGTTGACGGTTGACGGTTGATGGCTGCAGACTGAACGCACAAAAATATGTTCGGCGTCGTTTTGGTTCTCGGGTTGTCATTGTGTCCAATGCTGGACCGGGCTGGTTCTAAACAAACGGCCTCAGTTGTTTGAAACATCCGTGGATGCCCTGTGAAATCAGATGACCGTGGATATCGTTACATACAACTGCATAGCAGTCTTTTGTTTCAGCAGGATGAAAAGTTCATTTTCCTCTTAGTCTAGCCTCTTCTTCATTCTTGGCAGTCTGCACGCGCAACTTGGGGTGACTTGTTTTGAAGCCTGATATCTTCAAATCATTTCTGCCTGTCTGCCCCCAATGTAATGTTCAAATCGATTCAAGGCGCGCTTGCCTAAGATGTTCTAAGAGGCGATGCAGCTTGAGTTCCGGTGTGCCGCATCCATTGAGCTCCAAGGTGAAAGTTTAAAAAGTAGCATGCTCACAGTGCTCACAGTGCTCACAGTGCTCACAGTGCTCACAGTGCTCACAGCGCTCACGGGATGCGCAGCTCCATGCGCAGGTCTTGTTAAAAATGATTGGAATCAAAGCGCCTGCTGCATGCGGTTGATCATCAACCCGACATTCAGCCGAAATCCACAAGAGATGCAGGAGAGCCTGCAAAAAAGCAGTATCAGGGTGTCTTTGGGCACTCAGGTTTATGCCTTGTTTCAAACTTGGCCTTCGCTTGCTTCCATTGAAAAAGAGCCAGTGTCAGTTAGAGAGCGAAAAAGCACTGGCGGCTCAAAAGCGTGCCACAGTCAATATATAACTACTGTCCTGTCAGGGCTTCCTGTGTTTCTACCTTTTTAAAGCCATCATCTTTCGAGCCAATTTAAAGTGAGTCGCCTGGTCGGATGCTGTTTGAAGGGGGGCTGGTCGAATTACAGGGAGCCCTGCAAGTGGCGCCTTGGGTACAGTTTGCGCCCCAACTTCGTCTCCGTTGCAAGGCCTTCGCGGCTGTTGCGATAAGAAGCCAGCGCGGCTTCTAGGCGGATAGAGTCTCTGCGACATTCTGACTGCAGCCGACGGGCCCAGCACATCAAATCCATGAGACGTTCAGTGCTTCCTTTAGTGTCCGAGAATGGACGGTGGGCTGTGTCCTGCAAAAGAGGATCAACAATGGTGCCCGACTCCCGCCATGGCAGTTTGCCAGGGCACCGTCTAAGTTGGTCCTCAAGCTGGGCCGAAGCAGCATTTCAGTTTCCAGGTGCGGACAGGAAAGCGTCCCACTTGAATCGATCCCTTTGCTGAGGGCCACTCAAGAGGAGAATGTGACCCACGTTTTTGATTGCTCGTTGAAGCACATCCATTGATTTATTGCCCAGCAAGGCAGGCACCATTTTATTGATCAGAGTCAGTGAGTGCCTGGAATGTATCGGATTCACAGAAACAGACACTGGGTTCTTGTGCGTGCAGAGCGTGCCATGGCGAACACAAGGATGCTGTTCGTCTTTTGAGCAAGGGAGTACTGCTTTCTGTCCATCACTCTGACTCTAGTGAGCGATCGTGACATAAAATGTGAATGCAAGGCAACCCGCAAAAGGATGTGTGTGAGTGCTGCTTGGAAGCTAATTCTGGCTCGATGGTTGTGGTAGCAGCTTTTGAGGATTGCCATGTGTTGCGGGTGGTGGCCTGAAAGTCTGCGGCATGTTCAAAAGACCTGCAGATGGTTTTGGATGGCGAAACAGTTCTGGTTCGACATGACCGCCCGCTTTTGGAGCTGTTTTACAGGACACCAAAAGGTGTCATGTTTTACCGTCCCTGGTTTGACACATCTCCGAATGGTCCTTGCGACGTTGCCGCTCGACTTTGTCGGCTTTGTTTGTAACCCCTCGATTTGCATGCCCGCCGTTCTAAGATATGGTCCACCACCCTTTCTTGCAGTGGCAGATCTGCCACACAAAGCCACACAACTCAGATCCCAAACGAAACAGAACCCACAGCAGTTCAGGGATGTTTGAGATGCAAGGGTCAGACAAGCCCGCTGACAGGTTTTCGTGGTAATTGGACCTTTGAAGCGGCTGGTTTGCTTTGGGTTTCCTTTGACACCATTGCAAGGTGGAGCAGGTCGTTCGCTTGGAAAGCGTGCTGGAAAGGTTCGTCTGAAGTCAAGCAGAAATGGGCTGCTGTTTTCCAGCCTTCAAGCCCACCCATATCAACAGCTCGGAATTGAATTGGGTGAGCCCCGTTTGGTGGGCGAGCTATGAGCAGAAAACGTGCTGCCCTTTGGCCGTACTAGCTTATCCAGTGGCATCCGTGGAGCCCCGCAGGCCGGCCAGTGGGTAAGTTAGTGGGGGTTGGTGCAGTTGCTTATTTGTTCAACTCCCTTGGGAAAGCTTTAAGAAGGAAAGGTTTACTTGGCTGGGGAGAAGCAATCCGGTTTGGGAATGGATATCAGCAAGTTTCATGCGCATGTTGCTGTTTGGCCATGAGCCAATGCCACATAGGCTTGGCCAAGCTGGCGTAGAGCGAGAGAGAGAGAGCGAGAGACAGAGATAGATAGGGCAATGCAATTGCACCAGGTTCAGGCTCTGATTTCCCATCGCTAGCCAGTGGGGTAATTTTGAGCGCTTCGCGTTGCGCGCCTCGGCCAGAATGCTTTTGGCTGGCTTGAGGTACTGTGTTTTGGTTTACCTTGGTGTTGTGTTTGTCTGAGTGAGTGAGTCGGCACCGACATGCGCGAGCTGGTTTCCAAGATGTGTTTAGTTCACGTGTTGTTGTATCTACAATCATACGTGCTGAATGGCCGTAGCCGTTTTTCACTCCGTCAATTTCGGTATACCTTCTATCGACTCGTCACTTCGGCTGTCATTTTTCCACGTCGCGGGGAGCTTTCAGAGGTGTGGTGATGCAGACAGGCCCCCCCCCTCCCACTGCTACCGCCTTACCACAACACCTGAACGGCGCGAGAGGGCGTTCATGCCTTTGCGCACTATATGGCCCATCCGTCAAAAAATCCTGTCGCCCCGTTAATTCGGGGCGGTGGCGGGATTTTAATTGGGGCCCAGGTGATGCCGTTTGGATCATCTCTGAGTTGGCGTTTTGGTTGGTTCCTTTCATCGTGAACTCAACTGTCACGCACCCTTTCTCTTGTCCAAACATCAAATGAGGGTCAAACAACTTACTTTCTTACACCTGTCACGTCCTTCAACCTGGTCATCAATCACAGCTCCCCCAAGTTGTGTCACCGGGTTCTTTGCCCTCATCGTGCACTACCTTGAGGTCATTCGATTCCCTGGGATTTACCATGGCTGGTGACCCGGTTGCGGGCCGTGACCCACTGCTTGCTCTTCTTCGTCTTCGTGCTCAATCAATGGCGTCTGCTGGAGCATCCCGTCGCGGGCCTTGGCTTCGCAGACTGCGTCTTGCGCGGTGCTGCCACGCCGCCCCCAGCCAAACAAGCCAACTCTGCAGCGATGGGCGCAGAGTCCTGGAGTTGTCACGGACAAGTGGACCCTCTCCCAGCGTCTTTGATGAGGATGCAGAGGATCCCGGCCACGGTGAACCAGGAGCTCTCATCCATTTCACCCATGCGAGCCGCTACGCAGCGGTAGCGGACCGCAACATCGCGCCAGTGATGGATCCAAACAGGAGTCCCCTGGTAATGGGCATGCCTTGGTCCTGTCGCCGAAGCCCTACGTTCATGAGGTTGCTCGGCTAGCCATCATCAAGCTTATCAGCGTGGGTCATCTTGACGGGATGATCCGCGTGGGCATAGTGGGGCCGACTCGCGGGCTGCCAAAAGAAGGTCCGAGAGAAACGTTCTGCCGGATCCGGACTCAGCTCCAATGGTTCAAGGTTTGAAAAGGACACGGATGATGGTATTGCGAAGACGTGCGCGAACCGCAGGCCTTGACATGCTGGTCTTCTTCCTCTTCCTGGAACGTGCCCGCGTTCTTCCAGATCGGCTCCCGACAGGAACGGGGATGGACAGAACGCTGGTGGCACGGATAGTTGCCCCGCTCCTGCTTCGTGCCTCGTCCTGGTCCATCCGAACTTCAGAGACTGCTCCTTGCGATCCACAACGAGACCAGAGGGTGCAAAGCCGAAATGCAAGGCTGCAGAACCGAAATCCGGTCATGCAGAGATGATGTGAATGCGTGCGTTGGCGAGATGAAGAAGATGAACGATCGAATCAACAACTTCGAAAAGAAGGTTGAGATATCCTCCACTGTCGCCGGAACTCTCTCGAAGCACGAGGCTAAGTTCCGTGAGATCGATGAGTGGAGGTGTAGGAGCCAGAAAGAGATTGATGATCGTTTCAAGATCTACGGCGCAAGGTCCAATGCCCTCATCTCTGCTGCTGAGCTTCGTGAACAGGCTGAGTCTCTTGAGAGCATCAAGGTCCTGCTTCTCAGATTCTCCGAAGTAGGAGCGATTGAAGCCGAGACACGGAGGATCAATGTGAGGTGTCGTCGAAATGGACCCTCAGTAATGAACGGACGACACGTGCTAACGTTCAGACCTACATCCAACAATTGGTTTCCAGCGCCAACATGAGACGCTGCCAGACCCAGAGAAATTCTGCTTGGCGACGGAATCCGGGCTCTTGCGGTCCATTGGTGGGACCTATGCCTATGGCCATGTCGAGCATGAGTTATGGGTCTGGAACCGCTGAGTATAGTGACCGCTCTGCCCGCCTCCCGTGTTGAACGTCACAAGTCTCCTTCCTGGCCTCGGTGCAAACATCCCGAACAACAATGCCGACGGTGGCGTCTCGTGGGCCGAGACGCGACGTTCATCCGCTGGGGAGAGAGTTTGACCAAGATGCAACATCAAGGTCAAGACCAGCGCTCATGGGGAGCAGGCTCCTTCGGAAGCTCAATGGTCGCGCGCTTGTTAGCCTCTGACCGTAACGAAGTCGCAGGCGGGCGTGTGGCCTGTGCGAAGACATGTGGAGGGAGAACGCCGTCCCTGCCAATCGATACACCGCAAAGAGAGCAGTTCCCAGACGACGGAGGGCAGCACGCAGAGCGCATTGACACGCGGCACATAGCGCATGGGTTATCGCCGCGCGCGAGATCGCCAGCAACGCTTTCAGCTGTGACTCGCAATATGCCATGCGTGGGTCACGAGCGTCGAAGACGCGACATGCGTCGAGGATCTTGACCGGGACCTGCCTCTACCCGATCCCGGACAACCGATTCAATGCTGCACTCAGAAAGTGCATTACTTCGAAGCCCATCGTTGCCAAGACCAGCAGATTGACTGAGGAGGCACAGGTCAAGAGAGGAACCAAATCCTTTTCTAATAGACTATCTTCGCCCTGACGAAATCGCGAGTCAATCCATTTGTACGAATGAGCCACTCCCACTCACTCTTGGGAGAGCTGCTGGATCCGGCGAACTGCAGCTCAACTGGTATCACCGCTCCGATCGATCCCAGCGTTCTTCAGCGTGTCTTCTTCGAGCAGGTCCGTCACTCGCCATGCTTGCTGCCAGATGTTCAGCGCTGGGACCACGATCCAAGCGTACAAAGCTACGTGTTGCGATGGCGGACACGCTACAATGTCTCTGACATCAAAGATCAAACGCGCTCTCGATCGCCGCAGACTGAACGGGCCGGACATGCCGCCGCCCCTGGGGTGCAGCGATAGGAGTGGGGCCAGCCGCTCCTTCCCAAGGTTCTCCGAAAGAAAGCAGCCCGGAGCAGTCGTGACAGAAGATCTTGTAGCAGAGAGCGTCGCAGCGTAGTCAACGCATGTACAAACACGAGAAGCCGCCTCTTGACCTTGCTCCGCTCCCCAGAAGGCCGGGCTGGGCCGGCCTGGCGCTGCACTCAGCCTTGGCCCTGGATGCGCGGG